TATATATATATATATGTTATATCTAAATGTAGCCAAATGTCTGCAATCTTTTAGCAGACTGTCAGCAGGTTCGAGCAGAAAATAACGGCAATCTGCCATCAACTGCGTCCGCATTAGGCTTGTGTTTTGTTAACACCACCTGTGGACATAATGTGAAGGCAAATTGTTGACAGAAACTGAGCAGATCCTGCCGACATTATCTGACGCTTGCAGATTCTGTTACGTTTTTTCTAGCAGTTTGTCAACAGTATTATGTACATCTAATTCTGTTGTTGGCGTATGTAGCAGATATTTAAAAAATCTAATTTCTACAGACTTGGCTATCAGACTTGATATATATCTATTTTACATATATCTAAATGTATATGTAAAACAAAATAAATAATGACTATAATTACAGTGATTTAAATAATTGTGATTTTCCCATTTTTAATTTCCCATTTCGATATTTTAATATTTCCAAAATTTCCTACACATTCTTAAAATTATTTTCTACAACTTCTTATAAAATTTTTGTCATTGGAATTAATTATTTCGCAATTATTACAATTTAATATTTCAAATTTCACTAACTGAGAAGTTTTGCATAGAAGAAATTAAATTTGAATTTAAAGCACAAAGAAGACATAATTGGTGTATTTAGTATGTCCAAGTTTTAGATTCTTATTAAATCGTTACTGTTCAATTATTTTGCTTTTTAATCCTTTACTGCTGTCGTGAAAAAAATATTACATTTAAAACTAATATATATAGGTCTAATTAATGAAACTTAAATTTTTATTTAGATTTAAAAATCTATAATAGATTAAGGATCAGTTGGGATAAAATAATATGAAGTTAAATAGAAAGAACTTCATTTATGTTTTACTACAAGCTCGTATAAATACGTACATAACATAAGAGTTTGATAATCGCTTAGCAGAAGATACAAGCGTATGTTTGATAATACAATTATCATGTACAAAATTATGTATATTATATTATATATATAAATACATACACTCATGCATGCATATAAAATTATCCTAATTAGTCCTTGTGTAATCGTTAAATATAGGTGAAAGTGATTCGTGAACGCATAGGTGATCGCAAAAGGGTTCGTGTGTGTCTCGTGTGTGAGCGAAGAATTACCGTATATTCAAAATAAAAGCCGTAAACGAGGGAGGTCCGTAATGGTTATCGCCGGAAATGCACGTGGTATGCCATATTTTGGTAAGATAGCCTCGTATCAAATGGTTATTTGTGATAATTAGTGTGCGGTGGCAAATATTGATTACTATCTCCACCGAAACCACCTCCAAAACCACCTCCTGGTCCACCGAAACCGCCACCTCTGCCTGTTGATGATAGAGAATATAGAATTATAAAAAGTAACCTTTTCTAGTCTTTTATATATATTGCTGTACACCAATTAATAGTAATATTATATCAATGTTATAATTTGCCATTCAACAATATAAATGTAATATAAGATAACAGTTACATCATTGAATAGGAAATTATAAGATTGATATGATTACATTACTATTTTATACAGTTTATGTTCAGAATATATAAAGCGTCTTTTATATTAAGCGATAAAAATGTGGGATATCTATAATGATAGACAAAACTCTTTTTGAAACAAGCGATTAATTTTATATTATCAACAATTTCTAATTAATTAAATAATTAATGTATTTCAAATTTTGTATATGTATTGAATTATTTTATGTGTGATATCGTCGAAACTTTTTCGTAATCTAAAGATACGCAATTATTAATATAATTTCATTTAATTTTTTTCTATATTTATATATACTGAAAAAAAATTATTAAATTTTAATACATATTTTTTTTAATAGCATTGAGTAAAAATAAATTTACAGTTTAATAAATATTTGCTCAATAAAAAAGTGATAGTTAAATCAAATTAATGGTTTTTTAATTAAATAAAACATGTTTATACATATTTAGTAAATATTTACTTAGAAATATTTAAACAAATATTTATTAAAATTTATTTCAATGTACATCGCCTTATATCACTGTTTTGTGCGAAGGATCATACTGACCTCCTTGATAACCGCCACCTTGATATCCGCCTCCTCCATATCCTCCCAAACCACCACGAGAGTATTGAGCCTGTCCTTCGTATTGAACTTCCGCGTTGTATCCATTCACGTCGTCAGCCATATACCGAACAATCTGCGTTCTCGAGTCTGGCAACAGAACTCTATACTCTCCTTGAACGACATTACCGTCGCTGCTCTCGCGTTGAGAGTAATCATTGCCGCTCGGCGGATCGACGACTTCGTATTGGAAACTGTATGGCTGCGGCTATAAAATAATATATAAATTATAATCGTTTATATGAGACAAACAGAAAGGCGATGAGAAGCAGGAATATTTTATTTATTATTATATAAAAAAATATTAAATAATTATAATTATCGAAACTTTCAAGCACATCATTAAATATTTTTGAGCAGCAAATATTTTGAAATTATATTATTCTGCAAAGTTAGCATTTATCCTTCTAAATTTCAAACAATACAATACATGACAATCTGAAACGTTGATAGTAATACGATAAGACTTGATGTATGTGGGCAGTATTTTTTTAAAAGATAAGGTATTAATGGCTCAGCAGAAAAAAATAGCTTTATAAAATTAAACAACTTAATCATATTAAAGAATTAGAACAATTGCAAAGTTACTTTTTCCGTTGAGCATTGCAATTGCAGGTGCATTGAAAACAATTTTACCCTTCCGCCGTCACGTCCGCCATATCCTCCTTGGAATCCTCCGGCACCACCGTCTTGATAACCACCGCTGCCACCCTCGCCGAATTGCGGATATCTATACGACGGTTGTCCTCCGAATCCGCTTGCACCTGGTCTACCAAAGGAATCACCGCCGGGTGGACCGTAAGCTTGGCTTGGTCTTCCCCTATAACTGCCGATGCCAAAATCACCACCGCGGCCGCCACCCCCGAAACCAGTATCACCAAATCCACCACCACTTCCTGGTCTGTTGTATTGATATCCTCCGGCACCTGTGCCACCCCCTGGTAGGAGACCCGCCAGGACATCACTGCCGATGCACGACAGCACCAAGACCAGCTTGGCCAACTGCAATCAAAGAGATTCTGCGGCTTTGCTACAAGATCGGTGAGTAGCGAATTATAATCATAAAGAGACATTATTACATCAGATTAATATATATATGTTTGCACACTTACTACGCAACTTTGCTCGAACACACATCTATAATGATAGATAATAAAGGCAGATCAATTAAGATAAATGCGATATCGGAGTACTCCTTTCGATGAAAAAATTAATAATGCCTAATCATAAAATCATTAAAAGTGATGACAGCTTGTTTGCTAAGTATTACGAAATTGCGAGAGAATGATGATTATATTACTGACTTCCGGTCTTGAC